ACGAAACGAAATAGTAACGTACAATATAGTTTATTTTCGTACACTGGCTGTTAAGGCTTCGGAGCGCCGAATACGGGACAAATACAGGACATTAAAATAAATACAGAACATTTGGCGTCCCGTATAAAATAAATAAATTACCAGGACAATGGGTCAAAAAAGAGGACTGTCCCGTATAATACAGGACGGATGGTCACCGTAGTTATAACAGACACTAAAAAAATGATATTTTGCGTATTTAAGCTCAGTAGTAGGCCAGTGCGTTTAGCGCTGAGCGTTGGCCATACATTCCTGGCAGTTTTACAGGTGATTTCGTCATGCCATCTGTTGTTCTACACTTTAGTGAGCCTCTCGAAGTAGCTTGCAAGTTTGTAAGGGTATTTCTATTTCATCGTTTATATCCTCATAGGGAGTTTGGTGCCAAGTCGCACCAGTTCATCGGCTTTGCAGTTGCCTCCAATGTCGCAGTGTCCCGGAACCCATATCACCTTTGGGCGAAATGACTCAGTAATCCCGTTAAGAGATGTGCGACATTTCACGGCTACCATGAAGGTTGTCGACTGCTTCGTAAGGGATTTGATTGTCACCGGGCTGTCAGTGAAGATGTAGATATCAGCTTGGGATATCATATCACACTTGACCAGTTTTGTGGCTGGGTCAATTTCCATCAGTTCCGCCTGAAAGACGCTACAGTGGTCCGGAAGAAAAAAAATTACGGTAAGGGAGATTAATATCTACTCAGACAGCCAGGCGTCAGGCGGCGGTGGTGGTACAATAGAATTCCACCCCTATTCCATGAAAGATCTAAAGACCTATACAATTTTAACTTATTTCCACTTATACATAAACCACTGTGCACTGCTCTTTCGATCGACGTATAACGCTCACCAAACTGGCCGGCCGCATGCAACTTTTGGTGTTTCCGAAATTCGCCGCTAAATGCTGCAGCGTTACGAGTACGCAACGTAACCAATTCTATTTATATGCAAATTAACTCAATTGTAGCAAAAGCATGTTTCGGAAAGCCGAGTCATAAGTTCGCGCTCGATTCGCGGCGACAATGTGAAAATTCTTTTCGAAGTGAACGGGTGCTTGTGGGATCATTTCTAAAGTATTGGGACTGGAAAAAATATTGAAAAAATACATAAAAAAAAGTGAATGAGTATAAACGATAGAAAAGTGATAAAAAGGAGTTTTCAAAGATAATTACCCATTTTAAAGCATATTTAAGAAAGCAAAGCAAACGTAATTAAAAAAAAAAAAATCTAACGACAAAAGTTGTGCACAAAAGTGAGTAAAAAGTTTAAGAAATCCAAATGAAATGAGATGTGTGGCGGTGTTTAATGAAACTCATAACAAAAGCCAGTCACCTTTTTTCGATTTTTGAACATTCTTAACTAAAAAATGCAAGAACTTTTCAAAATTTTAAAATGTTGAAGTTTTGAAATTGAATTTTTATCTAAGAATAGCAACAGTGACGAGCCCGTAGCAACGCAGAAGTTGCGTTCACATTGCATTTTTGTTCCTGTATGTCTGTACGAGTATAGCTTTTTCAGCGAAAAGAAAATAAGCAAAACAGAGATGAGAAGGCAGACGGTGACAAATTTTCCCCACTTTCCCGTCTATAAATACAGATACTATTTTAAGAAATATGCGCGTTTTCTTACTTATTTTTACTGTCTTAATTTATTAAATTCGCTCCATAGGTGTGGAAGAGTGTTGAAAAAGCCTAGACATGAAAGTAAAGAAAGTGTTTCGCTTGTGCATGCACTGCATCTAAATTCTATTTACATATGTATACACACACACACACACACACACACAAATGCTTATATTTTTAAGTGTATTTCAAAGAGTGTTGAGAAAGTGTCTTTCTATTCCACCTTCTGCCGCCGTCTACTTGTTCGCGCGTTTTGTATGAACTCAGGAAGCCAACAACATTTGTTTATATGAAAAATCATCTCAACATTCCGACATATCCGTTGTATCACAAGTACTAAAATCCATACAGACATTTTACACCAATACGTACGTACCCGGTAGGAAAAAAAATTAGGCAGTTAAATCAATTTAGTCAGAATTTAATTAGGCTGGACTCAAAAGACAGGAGCGTAGTTTACCCCACATATAGGCCAAGTACCAATCCATTTCGCAGTTAAAATATCACTCGGAAACAAATCCCTTTGTTAAGGCTGTAGTTTGCCAAGCCATGAAAGTTGTTGCACACTTGCTTCTCTTACTATGCTCTTGGGGGTTTCACAGAATTAAAAGCTGGACCATTGAATATTACGCTCTCTCTCATGTTTAAAAAGTGGTCATAGGTATACTGTCCTTTCCTAGAAAGATGGTAGTAACTTTTCTTGCCGATACGTCAGCTTTACAACCTTCCCCAGTGGAGGCCGGCACCAGGCATTCATATGAGTTGAATTCTATAATTGTGGACCATCTTATTAAGAGATGTGCCTTCACTAAGCGACTTTACGTTGTCTATTTGTGAATCTAAATCTTATGCCCAATTTCCACTAGGCATT